TGATCCAGCTTCACCTACAGAAGAAGTGAGTATAAGGTTTTTTAATGAATCTTTGCAAATCGCCTTTCCTAATAATGTGCTAATTAGCAAGTTTCACGATGAATGCGACTAAAGTAAACAGGCCCTCAGAGAGCGGCTCGGAGGAGAGAGGCGGGGTCAGCAGAGCTCATTAACATTTAAAGGAAAATGCTACAAAACGGCTTGCTCTGAAAACAGCTGTTTTGACAGGGTAAAAAAAAGGTGTTTCTTACACTACCATTGAGAAATTTTAACCACACTATGTTACAGACTTTTCATTAAGACCCTAAAGAATCATATCAACTTGTGGAAAATGGCCTTCCGATGACCCCTTTAAAAGTACTACAATAATCCATTAATAGGATCATTATGTGGAATTAGAATCATTAAATCCCTTAAAAAAACATTGACTAAGTTTGCTGCCAATTTGTCCTCCTCTCCCTTTTTCTCTCCCTCATATACTCTCTCTTCTCTCATCCCTCGTTTCACTGCAGCATCCTGCTGAGATATGACCTGGTGTGGTCTGCTTCTCCATATCTAGCTTGGCTCCCAGCAGAGACTGTTGCTGTTCCTTATCTCTCTTTCTCTTTCTCTCTCTCTTTCTCTCTGAGAATGAACTACATCATAAGCTTTGTTCTGAGCAAGAATTCTGCATCCCAGGTTTCACATTCATCCTGACATCTCAATAACTCCCTGACCGGCATTATTATGTCGCTGTGCGTTTCGTTCAGTCTCAGTTAACAGAGACAATGCAGATTCACACAGCATTGTGTGCAAGTGTGTTGTGTGCAAGTCATATTTTCATGTTCAAGAAAAAAACTGAACAAATGAAGGAGCTGATATAGAGTATTTTTCATAAACCTTTGAAATAAGCATTAATAATGTAACTGAGAGGTACATATTTAAAATGAATAATCTGTTTCTTTGGAGTTTTTAGATTTTTTTATTTTATTATATTTTTTTATAGAAATAGGGAACCACCATTGCTTATTGTCTGAAAAACTGATTTAAGCACTATCATAGAAGCAAGATTGGTTTTCTATTGAATGTCAGCATGATGTTATCAGAAGTAGGTGGCAGTTCTGTAAACAAGTTTAATTTTAGACACAATATGGCCAGTATTTTGTCTCTTTTTGTTCCTCTAATGAAAATAATTCCAAATGAAGTCATAGTAAAATCAACTGATGCATGTCACAAAGAAAAACACAGACAAGCGGAGTGATCAAAATGTATTGTTTTTTTAGTCAAATACATTACTTAAAAAGTAGGTTTGATAAAGTAGGTATATTGAGGAAGAACAACTTATGCTTTAATGAGAATCTTGTTTGAAGTGCATGAACATATTCCTTATTCACCTTTATTTACCACCACTTCAAATACTCAAGGTCAGAGAAAACTGCACATATACATTCTACAAAAGTCATAACTGGATATGGAAATTGGATATGTCCTCATAACTGATAGAGCTGAAAGTGTCCCACCTTTTTTATTCCCAAATAACCCAAGTCTGTGTTGTCTATAGTTTTGATGTTTCCACTTGTCTCCCTCTCTATGAAGAAGAGGAGACCATAGAGAGTCTCTCAGCTGCGGAGGAGGAAGAGGAGGAGAATTCAGAAGCCGCAGCAACAGCAGCAGCTCTAGAGGAAGAGGAGGAGGAGGAGCAGTGGAGTGGGGAGGAGCCTGAGCAGGAACCTCCATCTGAGCTCCTAGAGCGGGCAGAGGTTATAGGCTCTGCCCAGGCTCTGCCCAGCCTGCAGGCTGAGGTTCACACACAGGCAGCTACTGTTGCCAACGAGGCCCCTAATGGGGGAGCTGAGGAGGCAGGGGGGCAAGAAAGCCCTGCAGAAGGTGTGTCCATCCTTCTCACAACCTGCATGTTTCTCTCTCCCTTCAAAAAAAAAAAGCAAAGCGAAACCATCATGGAAGCTTTCTAAGGGAATGTGGGTGGATGGCTCAAATATCTCCTCTATCTGCTGATGCTGCAAGGCAACACAGTCTTGATGGTGACCAGCTTCTGTGGCCAGAGCTGTGTGTCTGTCTGTCATTGTCTTTCTTAATTTCTTAAATGCTTTTCCCAGAGCAACTGCCATCTGCTAGCTATCTGATTAAGCTTTTTCTGAACATTACAGCTTGTTTCTCTGTTGATGCAACTGCTGCCAGGTCGACCTCCTCCATATATTGTTGTCCATTGCTCAGTTAATTTTTATTTGCCAGCTACATTGCCAGTTTTGGGTGATTTTTGATGCATGCTCCAACAAAACACCTGTGTTTTTACATGTGGTGAAACTACATGTGGATTCTATGAGAATCCTCTGTTTTTGTGAAATTGTGATATTTTGTTATGCTTCATTTTCAAAGGCATTTGAAAAGCTAAGCTTGTTGATTTAATTTAAATTGTATTTCTTTTTTTTCATTATTTTCAAAGCATTGTCATTTCACATGGTTTACATTCGTGCTTTTTAAATTCTCTTTTTTATGTGAAATGCAGAACAATTTTGAATAAATAAGATACTTTGAATAATTAAAATCAGACCCACTATGCATTTTCCATAATCTCTGAATATGCATTTGGCAGAAGTTTTTAGATGAGCTATTCCATCTTGCTGCTGGTGTACTGACGTCAGTATCGTGTTCGGACCACCTTCTTGGATATTTAATCCTCATTTTATGGACCTCATCCACGCAACATTAAATGTTTTGGGTCTGCATGCTGGTCCTGTCATATCCATGCCATCACTACATCACTGAATTGGTATGTGTGTCTCATCGGCTGCTGCTATTTGAAGGTGGAAGTTCATTTGACCAAGAGCTTTGCCTGTCTGTGTGGTGGTTGGCCTGGCAAATGTATTGTACTTTGAATTATTAATAATACAATACAATGCAGACTACTTGAGATTTGCTTTCAGCTCTGAAGATGGAAGCAGAGCGACTAGACAGTGAGAGGACAGATCCCATTGGCATGGACTTCACTGAATCTGCAGTGCATCTAGATGATGATCTCCCATCTTACCAGAGCCTTGTCAGAGACACAGATATGCTGGAAAGCCCCTTTGCTCGAACATGCCCCATGGAGGATTTTGATCTCCCTCCAAGTTACCAGGGTCATGCCAAAGAACCTTGCGAGACTCCAACTGAAAAGCCTGATGGACAAAGTGATGCTGTGAATCAGCCATCAACCGAAACGTGTGACTCCAGCAATATCCTTGAGGTAAAATCAGGGCAGATTCAAGACAAAGAAATGGAAATATCAACAGATGGGGACATGAAGAACAAATCTGGCATGTCTGCTTATTTTGAGACCACTACAATTAAGACAGATGCCTCCGGGTCTCAAGGAGAAGGGTATTATGAGCTGAGTACTACATCAGAAGAACAAAAGGACTCTATTGGTAACCTACCACTTCCTGAAATCAGCTACAGCACCTTGGCTCAAGCACAGTCTTTGGAAGTCCAACCAGATCTTCCGAAAAGTAGCACAGACACACTACACCCCACATCACCTGTAGACAGAAGAGATGACTGCAGACTCTCTCCTGGAAAACTGGCTCTAGAGCAACGAAGTTACTCTTTAAATATCACCATTGGGGCAATGGATCATGGTGATGCCCAAGGGCATCCAAGAAACTTCTCTCCGTTAGCCACTGACATCATGTCTCATACTAGTGGGAGCCTTGATGAATCTGCTGATTATCTTCCTGTCACCACTCCCTCAGTAGAGAAGCTCCCTCAGTTTCCACCACTGATCCTGGAGACAACTGTCTCTGCCACAGCTCCATCATTTTCACCTCCCCAGACAACAGTCACTGATGTAAAGACAAGTCCACAGACGGAGTCTCCAGAATCACCTGTCCAAGCTAAGAGCTGTTACAAGAACGGCACTGTCATGGCCCCAGACCTGCCTGAAATGCTGGACTTGGCAGGTACCCGATCAAGGTTGACGTCTGACAACACAGACCCAGAGATTATGAGGAGGAAGTCTGTCCCAATGGACATGTCTTCTCTAGTAAGTGATTCTTTAGCACATTTGCTCAAAGGTGACCAGGGCCAGATGGCTACAAAGAGAGAAATGCAGTTGGAGGAGCAAGGATATTGTGTCTTCAGTGAATACTCTGGTCCCATGCCATCGCCTGCGGATGTGCACAGTCCAATGGACTCTTCTTCTCAAATATTCAACACTGTGATATCAGAGGAGAAGGAAACTGGTCTGGTTGCATTTAGACAACAGGAGTGTCTATCAACTGAAGATCTGAAAGCAACAGAAGTTGTTACACCACAGGCAAAACCAGAAGAAGAAAAGCCAAGGAATGAAGATTCTTTTGAAATCGAAATTGTACCTTCTGAAAAACCTTCTAGAGAGACCAATCAAGAGGAATCTGATCTGTTGAATACTGAACCTTTGGAAGAAACCAAGAGTCCAACTTTACCTGATAATGAGAAAGGACAGTTAGACAAACAAGCTGAAACCTTTATCACACCAAAGGTGACGGTTACTCTTGAGGAAGCAAAGCCTGATTTTGATGCAGGTTCCAAACTTTCAGCTGAAACCGAAGCTGAAATAGCTGACTATGAGAGGCAAATTCGCAAATTGGAGATGGAGGACCGACCTTTGAGTGTAGAGGAGGAGCGGGAGCTCCAGGAACTCAGGGAGAAGGTGAAGAATAAACCAGACCTTGTACATCAGGAAGCTTATGAAGAAGTGGATGCAGAGGATGTCTACCAACTCACTGGAGCTGCAAAGGACAGAATTGCTCGGCCCATCAGACCATCCCCAGCATCTTCTGTAGAAAGTGCTACTGACGAGGAGAAAATGCATGTTGGTGACACTGAAAAACCTAGATCACCATGTGAGAAAGAGGCTCTTAAAACAGATCCTAATAGATTATCTCCCGTTGGGTCTTTTGAGAAATATTTTAGAGAGGAGAGACCGTCTGAGCAGGAGGTAAAGCAGAAAGACTCAGTGCAGCCCCTCAAAAAGAATGTTGCCGAGGAGAAACCTCAGCCAGCTCCTTCAAAGACAGACGAGGCTCCTCTTGATGCCACGGTGACTCAAAAAGTAGAGGAAGAGGTAGAGCTTGCTGAGGAGCCTGATGAGGTCATGCCAGAGCCAAAGCCAGCTCTTAATGTGGAAGAGAAGCTGGTGGCAGATAAAACTGAACCAGATGAGGTTGTGGACGAAAACGAGGAGGAAAAAGTGGTTGAGAAAGAAGAAGAGGAAGACGAGGAGGTCTTGGAAGGGGCCAAAGCTGCAGAAGACACTGTTGAGCCTAAAGCTGCGATTGAGTCAGTAGTAACAGTGGAAGATGATTTTATTACAGTAGTGCAGACCATTGATGAGAGCGAAGTCTCTGGACACAGTGTACGCTTCTCAGCTCCCTCTGAGGAGCAACATCCACAGCTCCTCCAAGAGGAGGAAGAGGAGGAGGGGGCTGTGGAAATGGCACAGGAAGTAGAGATGGAGGCTCCCAGTTTGGAGGAAGTCGTAGATGTTCCAGAACCTGTTGAGCCTCCTGTATGTCCAGCTAAAGAGATAGAAGTACCAGAGAGTGAGGCCCCAACTCAAAGCTATGATGACTACAAAGATGAAACTACCATCGATGACTCCATCTTAGACAGCTCCTGGGTGGATACTCAAGGTGTGATTTTAATATCTGTTTTGCATGAAATTTGCTCAGCAAATGACAACACCTTTCAGCTTAATTTGTTTCCTATCTTTTTAGTTAAGTTAAAACAGTTGTATATTAGTTGGATTGAAGCACAGTCAGATTTTTTTGTTTCTGTGAGGGCAAGTAAATGTATGTTTACATCCTGGTATAAAAGTAGTTTGCCTGTTTTACCTCATGTACTCTGTAGATGATGATAAGAGCATGGCCACAGAGAAAATTGAGCCTTTACCCAGAGTGATGAGCCCTGTCAAGAAACCAGCGAAACAGAGGGCTAAAGGCGGCAGGGCCAAAGGAAGAATCACCACCCCTGAACGCAAACCTGTTCGCAAGGAGCCAGTACCCATCCAGAAGGATGAGATGAAGAAGAAAAAAGGTTTTTGTTGCTGGAAGTGACATTTTGTTTTGTTTTGTATCTTCCTTTTCTTTGCATATTCTGTATTTTTTCCCATTATGACATTTCCATATAGCCCTTCAAATGGTTTTCAGCAAATTAAATATTTAAATCTTTGTTTAAATGTTTATTTCCATTTTGGTTAGATGTCATGCATCAAATATATATATATAATATTTATTTATTTATTTTTGAGGCAACAGAGAGTGTGCATGCAAAGTACATGCAATTTTAGTTACATTATTCTGAATTTTCCTGGGGTCAATTAAATCTCAGTGCAATTCTCATGCTTCAACTTTTTTTTTCATTACATCTATGTTAAATAAGTCTTTTAGTAAAACATTTTTTGTTCATTGATAAGGTCAGTGACTATATCGCCTTTTGTCCTGAATTGTATTGCTGCTGTGCCCTTCCTTGATTCTGTGTCTCCCTCTTGTAGCTGTGATTAAGAAGGCTGAGCTCACAAAAAAATATGATATTCAGACGTGCTCTCCTTCCCGGAAGAGTGTTTTAAAATCTACCGTAAGGCACCCTAGACCTACCCAACATCACGCGTGTGTTAAGCGGAAACCCACAGGTGATCTCTGTCACAAGAAGCTGTTTTGCAATGTGGCTGGCAAACATGGGCATTGGCATGTTATTTTAAGAATGATGCTTGTCTATTTTATTTGTTTTTCTTTTTATGTATTTTGTATAGCAGATTGTATTAGTTATGCAAGTTGTATGTTCATGCAGTGTTTGTAATGAGACCCACTGGTGTTTTATTCAATTCTTTTGTTTATAATGTTTTCATTTTCTTATAGCTTTACCTTTCTTTTTGTTGTCTGCATGTATTCTCTGTTTCCATGCTTATTTACACTTAGCTTTCTTTTCAAAGCGGCACTGCTTATTGAATATTGTGAAAATGTGGTGCATCCAATCAAAAGTGTGTGTGTGTGTGTGTGTGTGTGTGTGTGTCTGTGGGTTAATTTTAAAGGATGTCATTCTGACTTAAATGTGTTAGACAGTTTATGAGGTGCAGCATCTCTATTCAAGTGATCATTATTTCCTGTCCTTTTGTAATATTTCTATTTTGTTGTATACAATATTCAGGGACTAACTGCACTGGTTGCTAGGCAACTGGTGGTTTGAGTGAGTTCCGTGTGCAGAAATCTAGAGGAAAGGAACTTACTGTACCTTAATGAAGTTCCAATGTTAGCTTTCTGGGAAATGTGCTTGAATTTATGGTAGACATCTGATACATTGCTGCAATGCCCCAATTAGCCTTTACTGAACAGCCTCCTATGTAATACAGTTAATTTTCAAATTCTCTGTTTTTCTGTGCCAAGTAGTTTCAGAGCAGAGCTTTCCAGTAGCTACAAAATATTTAGCTGTGCGTAACAGTCAATTTCATATTTGATCCTAAATAGACCAATTAGAAATATCTTGGCTTGAGCATTTAAAAAAGTAAACCAATGGTGGTTCAGTCTTGAAAGCTGAAGCGTTTTTTTTCCTCAAACATTGCAGTTTAATATTCAGAGACAACTACAAAAAAGCCATTTCTCTGTTGATTTGCTTGAAAAGTTAAACACTGTGGTTTTGTGGTGCTTTCAGAACATTGCTCTGTTAGATGGAATATCTGACCAGCTCACATAGCAACATTGACTCTACAAATGGCCTGAGTTTGAGGCAGGATTATCTTTGACCAGTCATACCTATCACATTGCACACTTCAGTTTTCTGAAATGAGTGTAAAATAAATATCAAAAGCTTTCAGACTATAATTTCAAGCTCATGTGGCTGCTTTTGTATACAAGATTGCTTTTGCAGTGTATCTGATTGTGTGTAATGTTCGGTTGGTTTTATTTTCATTGGAGAGCATATAACTCAGTGGTCATGGTCATGGTCACAGTATGTATTTCTAAATCATTCTCAGCCTCTCTTTTTCTCTTTCTCTCTGCAGTGTCTGCAGATGGTCGACTGCCCTTCAGTGTGGCCAGGCACTCTAGAGACTGGGCATCTGTAAGCATCACATTAGATTTCAATCGTACAAATATGATGATCCCAATTCAAGTGTAAATCTAGGTTATCTATAGGTTGTCAAAAGATAATCAAATCTATATACACTGAACAAAATTATAAACGCAACACTTTTGTTTTTGCCCCCATTTGTCATGAGCTGAACTCAAAGATCTAAGACTTTTTCTATGTACAGATTTAGACAGATTTGTGAACAATATTTGAGAGAAATAGGCCTTTTGTGTACATAGAAAAAGTCTTAGATCTTTGAGTTCAGTTCATGACAAATGGGGGCAAAAACAAAAGTGTTGCGTTTATAATTTTGTTCAGTGTATTAGAGATCGGCTCAAGTACACAGAAATAACAGCAATAATTAATAAAGAAAGACACAAATTGTGGCTTGGTTTTTATTTTAGTGGCAATAATTATGTTATTTTTAAATCAACTTCAAAACATTTCACATAGATCAAATAACATTGACAACGACACACAAACATACCAAAGGTCCTCTTTTATATTTTGTCATTTGTTACAGTGTAATTTTTGGTGGTACCAAGAATTCAATATATACATATATGTTTGCGCCTCAGATGCCTCCCTGATTTCCACTCTTTGTATTGCCTGCACATCCCATCTTATATCTGTTTTGTGTTTGTTTTGCAAGTTTGCATGACCTTTTTGCCTTATTTCCTTTAACCTTAAATTGATACATTGTGCCCCCTCAAGCAGTTTAATGGCCCATGTACTAATACTACATTTAGAGAAACTAGACACATTTTCTTCTTTTTGTGCTTGTTCATTTTTAATCCCTGAGTGGTTATACATTCTGGTAAATGCCTTTGTATCCTCAAATGTGTGGCCAGATGTTGCTAATTTCATTTGGTTAAACATGCTGTCATGCTGATTTTCATATCATTTTTAGTTTCATTTTCACTGTGCATGAATCACTCATCTGTCCGTGTTCCTCTCATCATAGACCTCCAATCCCACAACACTAACAAAGATCCCCACCTCTAAAATTCGGGCAGAGGCTTTGCTGCCGGCCCGGCCGAACTCGGCCAGCTCCTCCAATAAAAGGAGCCCGTTGGTGGAGGCAGATCTTTATGAGCCCCGCCCTTCTTCAGCAGGCCCACAAGTATTGCTAAATGTATATGCTGTAAAGGTAAGCAGGGAGCGAGATGGTTCGAAAAACGATTTGCTTCTGCACAATACTAACTAATCTAGAACTTTCAAAGAACCCGTTGGTGGAGGCAGATCTTTATGAGCCCCGCCCTTCTTCAGCAGGCCCACAAGTATTGCTAAATGTATATGCTGTAAAGGTAAGCAGGGAGCGAGATGGTTCGAAAAACTATTTGCTTCTGCACAATACTAACTAATCTAGAACTTTCAAAGAACATGTCGTCCTAGAATTTGTTGAAATAAAATGAAAAAGTGAAAATTAATGATTTTCTCACCTCATGTTGTTCCAAATCTGTATGACTTTCTTCTATGGAATACAAAAAGAAAAAGAAAAGAAGAATTGTTGAAGTGTTATGAATTATTAAGACTTGTTTTCCATAAAATTGTTAATTCAGAAAAAATAATGACATGAGGGAGAGTAAATTTTAATTTGTGGGTGAACTATCCCATTAAGTTTACCATGATTCTAACAGGATGAATGACTCTGTCCTCAGGATGGTGGTTCTCGGAGCCCAGAGAAGAGGTCGTCCCTTCCACGGCCAGCATCCATACTAACCCGCCGCCCACACATGGCTGATCATGAGGAGAGTTCCACTTCCATTACCAGCTCTGGGTCCACAGCACCACGCAGGCCCACATGTAAGAGGCATTCTCATGCACCTGTAAAATCTCTATATATTTTATTGATTCTATCTCTATAGATAGAAATAAAAATTGTGATTTTTTTTATTGGTTATGAATGAATGAATGAAACGCATTTGTCTGTGTTTCACTCCGTCTCGAATGTCATTTCTGCCGGCTCGGTACGCTTTCAACTCGTTTTTATAGTCTCGAGCAAGACTGTACGACATTCACATTACATGATTTGACTGATTTTTACGTAGAAAGGGCGACAGCGCACCACATTAAAATAAATGATAATTTATGTTTTCATAATCGCTGGCCAAATTCAAAAATGAAACTAAAATTAAATCATCTTTAAAAAGCAAGTGGGCCCCCTGGTGTTTCGTGGGCCCTACAAAGCTTGCATATTTTGCGTATAGGGAGGATCGGCTCGGCTTATACCTATAAAATCGCTATGTATTTTTTAATTGTTTCTGTCTCTAGATAGAATGATAGAAATTTAATGGACACTTAACAGGTTGTTTAATGCACATCCTGACATCTATAATACTTCTAAAAGTGTCTTATAAGTAAAAATAACCAGCAATAATAAGCAATATACATCTTTATTTTTTAAATACAAGTACAACCACTATATAATAATAATAATAATATTCGACACTGATCGGACTTAATCATCGCTGATTTGATTATACACAACTTACTACAATCAAATTAATACAAGACATTTTATCTATATTGTTTTTATTTGCATATTACCAAAAGCCAGTATGTGCTGCTAAAATTGATGAAAGAAGCACTAATCTAAACTCTTTTTGTGAGGTGCCTGAAGAATCTGAAGTGTTTCCTAAGAGCTTTTTGGACACATTTGGATCTATTATAGGACACGCTCAATCTCACTATATACTCACCCCTTCTCTTCACCCTGCTCCTGTAGCTTTCCGTACTGAAGTCAAAGCACAGCACAGGACAGGCAGGTCTCATAGTATGACAGGTATAGAGGATCAGTCCCTAATGTTTCACCCTGTTTGTTGTCGGTCATTCATACATGCTGTCCTGTGCAAGGATGCAGTCACCATAAAAAATACAGTGCCATAAAAAATTATTCACCTCCATTGCACATTTTCTTACAGCATTGGAAACACAATGTTCACTACTCACATCTAAACTAACTAATCCAAAAAGGGGAATAATTTTTCATGGGCACTGTTATACATAAGGATTTTTTTTTTCACTTTTTTGTCTACACCTTACCTTTCCCATTATGCATGTGAGTATAATGACTTTTTCTTTATGTGTTTGTGCCATTTTAAGTCCATTAAACATTTTTGTATGCATTATGACGTTTAAAAATCAGTAATACGATTTCATATCTATCACTGTCATCATCATCTACAGTGGGGACCAAAAGTCTGCCAGAAGTGCAAAAAATGACTTCTTAATGATCTTATGACTGGTCTTCTTTTACTTGTTTTCCAGTAAAAAGATCTAAAAATCTTTAAAGCAAGATACACTTGCTTGAGAAGCAACATTGCATAAGATATTAAGACTCAGTTTTTACTTATTTTAATTTATATATATATATATATATATATATATATATATAAGCAAGTAAAAAATCTGTAGTAAGACCAAATATTAAATATAATATTTGTATTTTTTTAATAATAAATATAATATTTATTAAAAACATTTTTTTGTCTTGGTGTACTTTTTAAAATGTTTTTGAAAGAAACCTCTTATGCTCACCAGGTCCAGATTTATTTGATCAAAAATACAATAAAAACGTAATATTATTATATTATTACAGTTTAAAGTCTATCTATTTTCTGTTTGAATGTATTTTAGAATATCACATCCTTGAGACATTTTAATATGCTGATTTGGTGCTCAGGAAACATTTCTTATTATTAATAATGAAAACAGTAGTGCTGCTTTATATTTTTGTGGAAACGGTGAGGCTTTTTTTCAGGATTCTTTAATGAAAGTTTAAAAAAGAGCTTTTATTTGAAGTAGATTATTTTTTTGTAAAATGTCTTTACTGTCAATTTCGGTCAATTTCATGCAACCTTGCTGAATAAAAGAAATAATATCTTCAAAAAAACAAATTGTACACTATATCAGTGCTATTAAACATGAAATATATTTAACTTTCTGAAAACAAGTCTCAGTATCTTATGCGGTGTTGCTGTAGTTTTTCTCAAATTGTTATGCTGATAAAATAACTTGAAAAAATAAACATGGAATTTAGACTCCACTGTATATTTTCTGTGAGAAAATATGAACAAGTCATCTTCACATTCGTTTGCTGATGTTGCACTTCCTGATTTCGAGCATTTAAATTGATAATTTCTGTTTTCACTGAAGGCGCAGAGACTACTCGGTCCCGCTCGGCCCGCAGTGGCACCTCTACACCCCGCACGCCCATGTCCACGGCCATCACCCCTGGAACCCCTCCCAGCTACTCCTGCCGTACTCCAGGCACCCCCCACACACCGGGCACCCCCAAATCTCTCAGCCTGCTATCCCAGGAAAAGAAAGTGGCCATCATCCGAACGCCTCCAAAATCCCCGGCGACTACACCCAAACAGCTGCGCGTCATTAACCAGCCACTGCCTGACCTCAAGAACGTCAAATCCAAGATCCGTTCTATTGACAACATCAAGTACCAGCCCAAGGGGGGCCAGGCAAGTCCAAATGCTCATGATTCGTCCTGATTTCACCTCAGCTTCCACTCGCTTTTCCCATCCCCATCTGTCTTTCTTGCTGTTGTTATGCACCTTCAGGGACGATTCTGTCCCTTGTGGGCACATTGTCCTTTCAAGTGTGCTTTACTATGTCTCGCACTCATCGCTATTGCCTTATGTCCGCATATATCAATTCACTGTGTGCATACTAATGGCTGCACATAATAGCTGTTAGGCCAGTTCACTCGTCTTAGATTGCCTTGTTCCTTCCCTGACTGGAAGGTAATTTATTCTTATGACATGGCATTTATTCTTATGGCATGAAACAAAGCATGCTCCAAAACTTTACCTCATTATTTTTTTTTAATTAATTTAAATATTTATTTTAAATAGCAACATTTGCATTTTGAAATGAATCAGAGATAATCACTAGAACACTTTTCATTTGTTTTATACATTAGTTTGTCAAAATCATGACATTACATTTATCTTTCACGTTACCTTTCATCAGATGATTTAAAAAAATTAATTATATGGCAAGACGATTCAATTAATTGCATGTTTTCATCTTTTTTTTGTTTTGTTATAAATAATTATTAAATTGACACTCCTAAATATATATTAAAGTTATATAGTTTCAATATATACAGTAAATGCGTCATTTATCACATTATATTAAATTATGTGTGTAATTTTATATTATATTGTTTATATTTTTACTGTTCAAAAGTTTGGGTCAGTAAGGTTTTTTTAAATAAATTAATACGTTTATTTAGCAAGAATGCATTAAATTGATTTAGCAAGGATGCATTAAATTGGTCAAAAGTGACAGTAAAAACTTTTATAATGTTACAACAAAAATATTAACATCACAGGAATAAATTACACTTTGAAAGATATTTCACCATATTACTGTTTTTGCTGTATTTTTGATCAAATAAATGCAGCCTAGGTGCGAAAAAGAGACTTTGTTTAAAAACCATTAAATCTAACTGACCCCAAACTTTTGAATGGTAGTTTAAAAATATGTATTTAAATGTAAACATATGAATTATTTTTAACACTTTTAACACTATCAGATACCATCAAGTTTTGCCCCAGTACTGAAAAAATAAGTAATGGAATATTTGTGGGACTGTGTTTAGTATTTCTGCCTCTCTTAGGGAAATGCTAGATAGACTGTTCTATTACAGAACTCTGTTTGGATTGTATAGTAGATTGTAGAACAACTGGACTGCATCCTGGGATTGTGGAAACTTCAAGTATACACACATAAATGCACATACAGATATGCACCAGGGTGGTTTTTATGTCTCGGACATACTGGTCTTTACTGGAAGGTTTGTTTTCCAGGTTGAACAGAGTTCAGCCGGAACGATGAGGACAGGCTCGTGATGTAAACACTCCTTGTGTCTTTATGTCATTTCATGCAAGCTTACTGTAATGACCAGGGTGTAGGCTGCGTGTTGAGAGTGACATATTTATGTCTGGCTTGTGGCAGAGTGCAGCGGTGCAGAGAAAAGAATTTCATCAGCCAGAGGAGTGGGAGATTGTGAGGTTACTGGGGTGGGAGACTGCAATGAGAAATGATAAGGAAGGACATTAAGTGACATTGGAGTAATTAAGTTTGTCTGTTGTGTATGTCTTAGAGACAGTGTGTAAGACTTCAGTTCTTGAGAAATGTTTTTAATGGGGGAAGATCAGTTTTTCTTGTACTTTTGAAGTAAAACTTTGACAAAACAGCTCAATATTAATGTAGTAGTAATATAGCAGTATTAAATGAAGAAAAATGTTGGTTAGGACTTTTTTCTATCATGAAATGATTAGATTTGGAAAAGTTGGAACATTTTTACATATAAATTTATATGTTTTTAAAAATATTTTTAAATAGTTTTTTAACAATTAATTTGATAACATTTTTATTGAGGATGTAAGGGAAACAGGTCAATTTAGCTCAAAGGGAATCATTTAAGATTTTATAGGG